TCACCTGATGACGTTCTACATTTTATCCTGTTGATTTTTTTTATTCTTTTCTTTCATGAATTAAATCAAAACGTACAAGAAGAACTTCTTATCGCGCCGATCTGGAATAAAAAAAAAAAACAAAAAAATTAAGAAAATATATTTATGAATTTTGACAATTGCCAATCGGTATCAAAGCAAACTTTTCTCAGTGGTATGTGAATAAATTACTCTGACTTATTTTTGTTGATGTAGTCGTTAGACTGAATGAAGCTTCAAGATACACAGAGCCACTGGAAAGGCTCGTGAAAGTGTTTCCGTCAGCTTGGCAGCTGACAGCCCTAAGGTTAGGAAAAGGGCGAATTAATAAAATCGGTACGCGGGCACCGTCGACACCCCGTCGCGCGTCGGTTGTTCTCGAAACGTTTCACGTTCTTGCGCCGAAAGGACGATTGAGCCTTTATAGGGCAGTTTGCATAAACATCTATGAAATACTCGATCACCGCTTCGTGGGAGAGCCTTTGTTCCCTTTCTCCATGCGCGCCAGTTCGCGAGCCCTCCTGCGGAAGAATAGCCGCGTTAATTAATTTCTCACGGTTCGTTTCGATGCCAAATGGTTTAAAAGCCTTTGACGGTGACGGCTAGTTGTTTGAGCGTTTCGTCGTCATCGAAAGTTTAAACACCAATACTATTTTACAACAATTTGCTAATTTTAATCTGCCTTAGATACCGCTTGGTCATATTTTTTGCGTAGTTATCAATTAAGTAAATATTTTATTCAATACTGATACGTGAATAAACGTTTTTTTGTTATCACAAAAAATACTGAATGAGAATGAAACGACAGATACAAAACCGGATATGCCGCCACCGGATATAAACAAAACAAGCGACCAATCAAAACAAATTCGAAATTAAACTCCGCCCGGCCCACTGCACTTAATCAAGCCTCACCTTAATCTAAACACATGTTCCAAGCAAGCGATAGGGTTAACAATAACACAAATTAATACAACATCCTCTTCGTATGAGGCTTTATATTATTACAGTACGCGTAAAATCACTTCCTCTATCATTTACGTGGTTTTTTCCCCGCCAGATGACGCCATTTTTTCTTTTAAAATGGCGTCCCCATATGGTGGGTGACGTTGAAGATGACCAAAACTTTGAAATACTTGTGGACTAAATAAATCCTCATACAGGATAAAAAGTAAAAATAGTTATTATACATTGTAAAGTATTATACTATATATTTGTATTTTATACAACCTTTTGGTACCGTCTTTTGCAACTATATATAATAACATTCAAAATCAATTAGACAATTTGGAGATCATATTGTTTAAGTCAAGATAGAAAGTTTTTTTTTTATTTTTATTGCCAAAAGACTACGCTCAGGAAATAGAATCATTACGTGCCTAAACAAGGTGTTTGATTCTAGCAGGACTATCCCTTAATAAAGGAACGTTTGGTGTCAACAGCGTAGCACGTGTTTATGAGCGATTGTGTTTTTGTTTCCCGCCAAGTGACACATTAGCGCCTTCTCGGGGCTTTTCGCGAAAGACTTCCAGACTGCACGCACGAGGCGGCCACACCGCGCGACCTGATGGGATAAACGGGCCCGTTTAAATCCATTTTCGGCTTCCGCGAACTGTGGCGTACGTAAGTGAATACAAATTTCACAGCAGTAACGAATGCAACGTGCTAGGCGATAAGAATATTGTTCATTTTACACTGTTGACAGATGGCTGAGGTCTTATGAGCCGCCTGATTGGCACCAAAAAGGCATACAACTTAGCAAATAAGGTAAAGTAACAGTCTATACCTATATATCCTATATATCCAACTGCTGGGCAAAGGCCTCCTCTGTACAGAGGGTATCAGCAGAGTCCACCACGCAACCCCACTGCGGGTTGACAATATTTACGTATGTCCCGAAATTATTATGTTTATTTCAATAATATGCAGATATCCTCACGAAGTTTTTCGTCATCGTTGAGAACTCAATGTCAATTAACAAATATTTTTTGGTTCCGGCACCGAGATTTGTATTCAGGTTGCTCGCTTTTAATTCAATATACTCCATATTGAATTAAAAACGAGCGACCGAACATTCGGCTATCACGCCGAACTTAGCAAAGCTGGATGCTATATTTCTGGTTTCTGGCGATGTAAGTGTTTAAAGGTGCATTGATTTTTCTTCGTTGAAAGTTGACGTATAGCGTAGAGAATTATCTCTAGAAACTTCCGGAATTGAAGAAATCCAAACTATTTGGGGTCGGCGGAATTCCCGCGTTTTTTACACCTCTCTGAAAGTTTCGGTAGCTTGCGGCTTGCGTGCATCAAGTACGAGGTGTATTAAACAATATTTTACTTAAACGGATTCTCCTCCGAGGCGACGAATTCTTGTCAAAACTCTCAAAAGTCATCTGACGACTTCGCGATTATTATTACGTATTACATTGTTGTGTGTAATTTTAGGCATTTCGCGAAGTATCCTTTAAGAAGACAATTACACAGGCTAGTAACGTAATCTGTGTAATTGTCTTCTAGTAGGCTATCAAAACATAAAAAAGTTATAAGGGTCTACTAAAAGATGTATAAAAAGTAATTCAGCTTAGAATCTCTTGATACAAACGGGTAAACAGAAACTGGTAGCTAAAGTACTCAACCTGTTCAAAGGATATGTTAGTTTTCTGCACTATTTTCAATAGATTGACAGACTTTACATACCTTCGATTATTTTTCTGTTACTATTTCGAAAATATGCAGGTTTCCTCACGATGCTTTACGTTACAGTAACACGTGATAATTTAGCACTCAACATGAAATGTTAATGTTTGTCGTTGGTCTTACACTGGGGTTCGAATTCAGGTTGCTTTAGTATACGGAATTAAAAAGCGACCGCCCGGACAACGAGCTATCACGGCTTTATGAGAAGGCTCTATCAATTAATGAGAATCCAAAACCTCGTCCAATATCGTCACAGCGCCCAGAATCAACCCATCACGCGAAACGCGCTGTCATCGGGTGCTGAAAATTAGCCGAAGGACCTCTGTACGCCCTGTAATTACAACTGGCGTGAGGATAAAGACGGGCATTTCTCGCCCGTTGCCAACACCTCGGCGGGGCCCGCCGAAACCCGTACTTTTGGGACACGCGGCTGGCAATTGCGCGTGACGCCTGTGTGAGGTTTTCCGACCCGCGCTATACGGTACGATGCGGAAATCTTGTCTTTGATTTAAGTGGGATTGCTTACTTGTCTAAAAACGTAATAGCAAACAATGGTGACCTGGAAAATTTCACATATACAGAGATCTCATAACGATGAAATTAATTAATGTTTTCTAGACACGTTTAAAGATTGTTATTTCGGCAAAGCTTGTACTAATCTTAAAGTAACTGATCAAACACTTTTCCTGTTCATAACATAGGCATTTACACTGACACTAGTAAAATACTATTTTTTAAGTGAAAAGGTGGCAAGCGATGCTCAGTGATAACCGCCGCCCATTGAAATTTGCAACACGTGGCAGATGCGTTGCAGATGCCTTGCTACCTTTTATTAAAGTGCCCTGCTACATTACCCACCAGACGATGCGCAGAAGTATAATAAGTCCACTTCAAGTCGGTCTTCTGTGAGTTCGTGGTACTTACCCGGACGGACCTGGCCATTTCTGCAACAGCAAAAACTGTGGCGTAGCCCCACCACAGTTAATTTTCATCACACAACATTTTTCCAGTAGTCGATTCAATACCACATCCTCCGGCCCAATAGACGGGTTCACAGCTCATTGTAGCACCAAATTAATTTATCGTTTACAATTTGAAGCAAATCTTGTTCAAAACGCGTAGATAAATTAGATTCCTGGGCCATCCGGTTTAAATGTTATTTGACAACTATTTCCCCGATGTGTGATGATTGATGCATACTTAGTAGCATTTGTGTTTCTTATTTGTCTTTAGATTTTCGATCACCCTGTGTATTTCGAATAATGTCGGTAGCTCGTTAGCGTGTTGATTTTATGACAGCCCGCGATAAATATTATTGCATGACGCCTGTCAAGTGTTCTGGAGTAATGGACACCGAGTCCGACGCCATTTGTGTTGTTGATGCCGAACATTCGACAAAGTGGCTGCAGCTTAGTTGACCACACGTTAACGGTCCCATGGACTCATAGTTTTTGCTCATGATCAACAGTAGCTGGCCGGGACTAAATCAGGACATTTACTGTTTTAACGTTATTATGGTAGAGAAAGAAAAAGCACACATATGCGAGTCGTGAACGGCCTCACAGTGTCACGATCATTTACACTTATTTTTTTTTCGATTCCAGATCATTGCTTTCTTTATTTTATATTTTTATTTACCAAAAAAAAGGTGGTCCTCCAGGTACTTTTTAATAATGTCAGTAATTATGCACCACAATCCGTACTGATGGTATGAGGGCACGCGACCCCACTGTAGATTAGCAGACTTGACAGATATTCGAAATAATTTTTTTTCGCTATTATTTCGAAATGAAGTAGGTTTGCGGCTCTTTCATCGTTGAGCACGTTATAAACTTGACAGATATTCGAAATAATTGAGCACGTTATAAAGGTTTGCGGCTCTTTCATCGTTGAGCACGTTATAAATGCCAGCACCAGGATTTTAATACAGGCTGCTCGAGTATATTGAATTAAAAGATATCACCCGGACACAGAGCTATCACCTAATAACATTTATTATCCAATTGTTCATTCTAATAACTGTTCAAATTACAATGAACATCATAATAACTACTAAAGCATACTGCGGAGAGGGTGTTGATGGGTCTATCAACTATCATTATTCTTTTAAAATTCAGACCTGAACGGCCTCCATTGAATAGAGTCATATGAATAAATCCCATTAAGCCGCGCGTACGTGGATAAAAATGTCGGACGAATTTGCGCGGATTAAACCCTAATGGGCGCGGTTGAAAATTTGGCGCTGGAAAAAAATTGCCGCTACAGATTCCCGCGCAAACAGAGGCACAATGGCTCTTGTTAGCTCGCGCAATCGCCGAGCGGACGTCACGAGCCAAATTGCGTCGTGTTCAGCAAACAGTGCAAATTTGGAATGTTTGCCGACCGCCACTCGTCGCTTAAGGCGCGACTGGTCCGAAATACCACGTGCATTCCCACCCGCAATTTGGATTCTTGAAAAAGTGTTGGTCATAGAAAATAATGGAGAAGGATGGACGACAAGAGTGAATGGTATGGAGAGACTAGTAGAGGGCGCCCTTGATGAACATGTACAACTAAACGGGGCGGCGTGAAAAGTACCTGTCAGCGGATTGCATGTGTCACAAAAATGGATGTAGGATAGAAGGAAATAGTTTAAATATGAAAAATAAATCCAGTTGAAATGGCATTTGGGGCGACCTTAAAACCTGTACGTCTATGAATATTACATACACCAAACATCCAGCAGTGAGAAAAATGTAAGAACTTCTTGTGCACTACATTGTCCTTTTCCAAATCAAGCGTTAGAATAATTTACATTGGTACCCGAAATTTTGTTTGAGATTACGATTCTGACATTTAGTAAACTAATCACGATGAGCTTACAAAAATTGCCATAACGGGTTATGGCAGATTTCTAGTAGTAAATCTTTTAATTTTGTTTGTTTGTTTCATATTATGCAAGTCAGCCTATCGTTATTTTTAAAAATACTTTTAAAGTTATAGATAAAAGTCGAATCGAGAAATGTGTTTGTTTTAATTTTGATACAGTTACAGTGTTTTAGCTAGTCAGATAGTAATTTAAAAAAATAATTAATCAATTGAATATACAAAATCGTAGGAGCTGGCCCTTAAATCACCTGTTTATATTTTCAGCGGGTCCCGGGAACAATGTTTGATGAGTGGATCTCTGTTTATCGCGGACAGTGATTCAGGTGCGCTCAACATTTCGCGATGACGTACAATATGACATTAAAAAAACTAACTCCCTCACCATTGCATCGTTGAGAATTATTTATTTAAATTAGTTGGCTCTTCTTCAACGGCTAAATCTTTATCAGATGTAACCAGGTAGATGCTAGTTAACGTCACCTGTCAAAAGATACAAAATAAAGATTCTGCCGCAAAACTTGATGTTCCATATAAAACAACGTTGATTTAGCTTTCAACTGGTACTTAGGTACTACCTAATAGGTAGTAACTATATAACTATATACTCAGGTAGTAGATATATAACTTGGTTATCATTCTTTCATTCATCAAGTCTGAAAGTATCGTGTTTAATATTACATATATACAATCTGCTGCCGGAACTAAATCGGGACTTCGTAACTCACTGTTATATAAGTGCTTACTTTAAATCTATATTCAAATTGTTGACAAATATGACATTAGAAACATGTTTTGCTTAATCACTGCGTTGAATATTTCGTGGTATTTTGTGATACTTTTAAAATGGTCGTTTCGTGCTTTACATATATTTTTTGCACATTGACACAGTCAACCATTACTACTTAACTTAATTCTTGTATGACACTCATTCAGTTAGTACTCATGAATTGAACGGGGGTGTTCTCCCGTGGAGTCATACATTCAGGGGAGGCAGCTGGAACCTGACCGTTATTGGCTTGTTATTGGCCATCTATAACTAGGGGCCGGAGTGTCGCGTGTCCGCTCCCATTAGCTCATTGGGCACACGTGCTCCTATAATGGCGTGATCATCGTATTATTGTAATAATATTTGATATTGCATAGCGATGACTGTTACTGCCTCATCAGGTCGCGACGTCGAACCCCATTCATGTGTGTAGTTATTATTTTTTTGTGTATCCGTAAATATTTTACCGTCATCCTAATATTGATAGCTTCTTCCGATTTGTTTTATACGATTAACAAAAATGATGCAAAGAACCTCTAGCGTAGACAGAGGTTATATTTAGACCCAATCATAGTAAGTATACTGTCATAATAGACAGGTTACAAGATGTAAGAAAGCGTATAACAACCATGCGTTGATATTACAAATACACATCGTGTGCTCGTCGTTGAAGGAAACCATCGTAAGGAAACTGGATTTCTTTGAAAATTAAAATAGAAGGAAAACTATGTTGAAGATTAGTGAAGTCTATCAATCCTCAGTGAGGGTACAGATACATTTTTGATGTATTCCCTTTTTATTATTGTTAATTATTCATGTATTAATTATTCAGAATACGTACTTTAATAAATTCTTTACGTACTCTTCAAAAAGTTATCATAGAAGATTAAGAAGGTTTAAGAACCAATCGAACATTTGTCATTATTGTTTTCTCACTCTGCTACGGAGTTAAAATTCATTATGTGGTTTCTCGGTCATTGATGTATATTATAAATATTCTTTGTTCGCAAACAAATTTAAAAAGCCTTACAGTATTAAATATCTTAATTACAACAATTAGGACACTGAGTAATATTTCTCATTTAAACGTCTTATTTTCAAGGGCTCGACAAAATGATATTTACATATGCAATAGCAATGATATTTGATCTTTCCTTTATACAAATGATATTTAAAAGTTTTAATATTTCCCTGAAGGCATTTATAGAATAATATAATAATAAACCTTAAGAAAAACATCTGTGAAGGCCTCGATTTAACTCCAGTTATGAGTAATATCTTTTTGGTCTCAACCGGCTGCTTTAACAACGATTTATTTTTCTTTATTTTCGACGCGTAAATAGTTTATTTAGACAAACTATTTTCGTATATTACACATTTTAATAAATGTAAAACATTTTCGTATGCTACTTTAATAAAGGTAGATATTAGTGTGGTTCCTTTTAATTTCAAACACCTGTCACAGTAAATACTTAACATGACTCATGGTCACAGGGTGATGTGTGATGTTTGACGTATATTTGTCACCGATAAACTTGTTCGTCATCAGCTGGAAAATTAACTAAACTGTTATAAAGTTATTTTGATTCACGTTGCAAACGCTAACAGAATCATGAAGTCTTGATGTGGTGGTGTGGTTCGGGTCTATTTAATTGTATTCTCTAAAAAATCTTCTTCTCTATTGAATGTTTCTTTATTTCACTATCATGATTATGTTAAGGGATGATGATAGTGCACAGCTATCAGCTCATGTGATTAGAAAATCATGAATTACCCGTAAGCTAATTATCAGTTATTCTTCAATACTATGGTGGAGCCACGGAACTGCTTCCAAAACCGGAATGGTTTAGCTCTATGGGATTTCCAACAGGCTGATACTGGGATTTAGCATCGTAGTTTTATGTTTCACCCAATCAGTAGGGTCACTGGACACCCTTTAAGGATGTCATAGTATCTGCAACTTCAAGTTGTATCTTCTCTTATACACGTACGATTTTCTTAATAAAAATAAAACTGAGTCCAAATACCTCACTCACTTTACTTTTTCTATTTGATTTTGAGGAGTTTCCTAATGTATCTCCGGAGTTCAAGTTACAAAACCAATGATATCGATATGAGTCAACATGGAAAATAAACCAAACGCAATGCAAAAATAATTTTTAAAATCTGCTCATAACTGACAGAGTTCTGAATTGACAACTGAATTTACAACCGAGTTGAGAAGCTCCTTCTTTCTTGAATTCGGTTGAAAAAAGAACACGGCCCAATGGTCCTGATAATGGGATAACACGTCAACACATCTTGGAAAAGCATAAAGAAACAATTTCGTCGACGTCATGCACATTTGGGGGGTTGCACACATTAGTCAAGGCTCATTGGTCGTATGTACATAGCTTTGTACCTTATGGGGTGGCATCCCTACCAATTGATTCTAAATTACAACACTCGTGACGCGTAACTAATATAAGATATATTGCTGATAGCCATCGATGAAATTAAAATAACCAGGCGTGAACGTTAGCGAAAATTGTTATAAAATTTCATGAGCCCTAAATTCGGTTTGGTTATAATTCGGTGGCAGGGGTACAACCCAGACAAAGATGGATCTAGACTTTTAGGACAAAGGCTGGACTTCTTAAAACGAAGCAGTGGTGCAAATACGAGTCGTTTCGTTCAGATGTTGAAACTTAAAATCCATGGGGAGCATTTTTTTCACTTTAAAACAAGCTATCATTAATTATACGGGCACGCAGCTCTTTGCTGTTGCATGAATGGGCAGGCCTGTCCAGGAAAGTACCAAGACTTCACAGAATACCTGAGCGAAGTGAAAGTGTAACTTTTGTGTGTGTACTGCGTTTTGTCTCGTGAGTGAGGTAGCCGAGGTATTTATTAAAAGGTGGCAACGGATCTGCAAGCCCACGGGTACTGCAGATGTCAGGTATCTTCTCATATAAAACAAATAAGTATCTTTTGTACGCAATTCAATGATTAATTGCACTAGAGGTGTGGTTTAACTAAAATGTTAGTAATAGGCATCACAATGCGTATTACTAGCATTTTCCTCCAAATGTATTAATCCGTTTATTTGTAGTCGTCACTGCTATCAGTCATCTCAAATCATATTCGTTTCCTTCACATTAGGAAAGATGGAATCGAAACAAGCGGAGTGCTTCTTTACCTGATCGTCCGTCAATGGACGTTCGAGGCATCACAGAAGTTGGATTAGCTTCGCCAATTTAGATGGAATTAGACCTTCTTGAAGGCCCCTTATTTGTGTCTCTTTATCTGTCTCCTCATCTCTGTCCACAATAGACCACACAAACCGGTCATACTTACTTTTCAACCGACTTCAAAAGGTGGAGGTTCTGTATTCGACTGTATATTTTTTTTATGTTTGTTACCTCGGAACTATCGATTGAGTAGACCGGTTTTGAAGATTCTTTTTTTATTTCAAAGCTGGTGCTTCCCACGTGGTTCCATATTGATTTCATCGGTGTTGAATTTTGGGCTTAGGGAACTCCTGAAGATCAATTATAAAATGAATAGACATTTGAAGTCGATTTTGGTTTTCGTTAGTAAAAATATGGACTTGTCTATTTTAAAATGCGAGCAACTGCACGGCAACGGAATTTTACAACGCCCGTCAATTGACTAAATAATTGGGTCGGTGGCGCGTGCGCCGGCGAAACGGGGGAAGATCCCCCAACTTGAAATGCAACGGCGGCTAAAAAAAAAAACATCCCTCCATATTCAAATTAACAAAGCATTACCGAGTATTCCGATACAATTATTTCATTCGCGTCTATAAAAAAAGTACACCCCATTTTACGATGGGCGAAACGCCCGTCGTTGAAATTGCAACTTTACCTACGCGACGTTAAAGTCGAGTTATCCTTTTCGCTGGATTTAGTGAGGTCCCCAGGTCTAATGTAT